AAAATATTAGAATTTTAAATAACTATTTTAACATAATTTAATCTCTCTCTCTCTATACACACACATATATATATATATATATATCCTTGATTGAACAAAATTAATAGCTAGCTAGAAAAGTACTATAATAAGTACTTCAACATGAGTCATTGTGATTGTGTTGAGGGGCACCATGTGGGTCTCTATAATTCTTATTATCCAACCTTCGCGATGATAGCGGCTGAGATCCCGAGTAAAGGGCTAACAGCGAGGATGACGAGGGTTAATTTCCAGCCTTTGACAAAGCCAATGATGATGCCAGCGAAAAAGGTGGTGAGATTCTGAAGCAGCATCCCAAGCTTATCTCCAATGCCTTCATTTATTTTGTAAACATCACTGGAGAGGAAAAAAGAAGAGTGGTATATTTATATGCCATTGTTTGTGTAATATCTAGGTAAATGACTCCAATTGCATGTCATACTCTGTGAGGCGAGTGTTGAGCTGTCCTGTCTCATTGACATCAAACCAGCCAATCTCTTGTTTCATGATAGAGTGGAAGAACGTCTTTCTAAGTTTCTTCACCTGACGTCCTGCTGCAAGAGTCCAAAAGGCCACCTGCATATATGCTGCCACCAAGACTACAAATCCCATGATGCTGTAGTATATAGCATGCCTGAGAAGGAGAAACATGACAATCAGACACTTAGAAAGACTTTTAAATTAATTTACTTAAAACGTGAAATATGAAGGAAATGGCAGAGTTCCAATACAAAGCACATTGGTCTTACCTTGTCATCTGCTCCCCCAAAGTCTCATTACTGGTCTGTGGGAGGGTGAAGTCTAGAGATTAAAAGACCACATGTTGTTTAAAAAGTCACAGATTCCCTGTGTAAAAACAGTCCAGTGATGAGGCATACAAAATATACACTCACTGGGTGGAAGGGTGGTGTTCTTTAAATTCTCTAATATTGTATCGTCCACAAAGCTGTTTGTCATGTCTCCAAATACAATAACCATGAGAGGAAGTACTGCTCCATTGGCCATAGACATGACTGTGCCAAGCAGCATTAGAAAAATATCGACACCATCTGCATAACGGAACTGACAAAGGGACACACTTCATTGAGAAACAAATCATTCTTTAAGTGAAAATTAAATGAAATAACAAAAATTAAACAATTACATAATCACACAAAATTAATTATCCACCACATGCATTTTAAGGCAGTTCAATTGTATTGTTTGGTTGTGGTTACAGACTCGGTCTTAAGTATTTAAAATGTTTTAGTGTATATGATCATTACATTATTATTATTGATTTCACTAATAATAATAATATATTCCACTCACTATCTTTAATGGTCCCACCATCTCCATCTTTTCTTTCTCCTCTTTTTTTCCATTTTTCCCACTGCTGGGAGAAGAAAAAAAACACAATTTAGTTGAAAAAAAATTAATTAAATTAAATTTGAAATTATCTGCATGTAACTAGTTACTGTTTTTTTTTTGTTGTTTTTTTTTTTTGTCTTTTTTCAGTGACATAGTTCTCATTTTTGACTACATAAATGATCCCTCTTTCGTGAGAAGATACTAGCCAGGACATTAGCCAAACCATGAACAAATGTAGCCTATTTGTAAGAATAAATGGCGGGTGAAACATCAACAGATCATCAAGTTAACCTTTATCACACACACACACACACACACACACACACAAACATTTACCTTACATCTCCATTTTCCTCCTTTTTGCCATTTGACAGATTCAGTTTGGATTTCTTGCCCATTTTATCTCCGATGCTGATAGTCCGGGTAGTGTTAATTGATGGTATGGATGGGGCCGGTGGTTTTGTGCTGTGTTATATAAAAACACACTATAATACACTGCGCAATTAGAGACAATAAAAACTCTGTGGCTTTTTCAATTGACAGATTGAATAGGCTACCTATTAAACCTGGTAGCAATGGCATACACAGATGATTCCCTCCTACCCCATCAACAGCATGACACAAACATTTAGCTTACTTTTTAACTTCAAGGCGTTATAATTGCCTAAGCCATGGGGTCAGAGAAATCCCACATTGAAATATTTTAAATATTCAAAGTTGGGGACCCTTGACGAGCTTAGAAATGAATCGTGTTGCTTTAAATGCTGTCGCTTTAACGTAAATGTCTCAAATACCATAGGAAAAATCATAAAATATATTTGTAATCTTATTGCGATAGTATACGTTATCCACATTGAAAGCTTTCAAACTGTTTGTCATTTTTGTTGAATCCTTTTTATGACCGTTAATAACAGGTAGCCTAATAATTTAAATGAACGGTATCGTGACCATTTTGTCCCAAAACGACCATGTCCATAGTAATGACAAATACTACGATAAATTCGAGAATATGATGAGCATAATGAAAGATACATACCGCTCAGACGCTGTCGTCCCACCCTACTGTCCCAGCACACTGGTGCTCTGCTGAGGCGCGAGAGCGCAGAGAGGACCTTCTGCCAGAGCGCAGTCGCACGCGCGTTTAAAAAGCCTTGCCCTTCAGTTTATGATGTTACTGCGTGTTTCATCATTTACAACCTGGATGTCCCCCTATGATGCTTTAATGATTGAAATACCACTAAGATGGATATCTGAGATTATCTTTAGAGTTTGGCACGCTACGAATACGCTGTAGGCTACTTGGTCTGCAATTACTACGTTTTTAGTACAGGCACATTTTGTTGTTGTGAGATTCATTTGTTTTATAAACTAAAATATGATATAAAATTACCCTAGCATCAATAGCTTGTTTTAAACACATTTCATGTCTGTACAACCCCCTCCCCCGTATGGGGATTTAGGTCTGTCCCACGTCAGAGGTCTGACCTTCTCAAATTTAATATAGCAATTAAAGTCGTCATTATTTTGACGTGTCGTGATATAGCCTAATTGATATCTAATGAATAATAAATATATGTTATTATTAACTTATTTAAATGACAAAAACAAAAAAAAACATTTGTGTCCCAAAGTCGTGTTACCAAATGGTTTTCCTTATTACATAAAATTGCTTTAATTTTATAAATTTGATCTAAAATTTTCTCTGTCCATTTATTGAAAAGAAAAAAACATGTTATGTTTATTTATTTGTATTATTATTTACATTTTCAAGCCGTTGTTTGAACTGTTTTTGAAATAAATGATATGAGGTTGGCTTTCTAAAGGTTATTGCTGAGATGGGTCATGGGTTCATTTTGGTCACTCAAAGTAAAAAAAAGATGGAAAAATACAAACTAAAACCTATTTTACATGGTTAGAAACCGGACTGAAAATGTCTGAGTGGTAATTTCATATCCCTCTCTTGGTCAGATTTAAGGAAGTGGGTTAATTCACAATGTAACAAGCTGTACTGGATTAAAGTCTGTAAATGAGAGGGTTTTTTTTCTGTCAGTGAGACAAAAAGATTCTACAAGCATCTGACCAGTTATAGTTTATGCGAGTTGTAGGTGTGAATATACCACTTGTTCCAGTTGTCACATAACATGCAATAAATCTCAATAGTGGCAAAGGTGACATTGCTAGGCATATCTTTTGATGATTATTGTCCGGTTTTGAAGCTTTTTACCATATTAGGTTGACATCACAACAAATGTCTTGTTTTTCTGCCTATTCTTGATGTATGTTTTTAACCCCACACTACATATTGTTTAAATTTTATTATTATTATTATTATTTTTTTTACAAGACTTAATTTTTGCTTAAAAAATTAAATTCACAATGACCCTAAACACACTGAGTAGCATCAATACATTATCATCACAATAATTAACTTTATATGGCTCACACTCACCACCATAAAAACAACACCATAAAATGATGCACCGTCACATCCCTCGGTGATGTCATTTTACATCTTAATGTTGGCAGTTAGCAAATGTTCATATACGGTCACAACCTCTGTGATGAAGCGCGATAAATAAAGCATGACATTTCGGGATAAACACGGGAATTAAGACAAATCAAATCTGCATTCAACTGTAAAAATAGATCCCATGTTTATTGCATTAAAAATACTGCATATTTCAAAATACACTTAAATATCTTCATATACCTTCTTCAGTGCTTTGATCGAAAAGGCAATCTTCATCTTCCAATCAGCCAGCTTTGTCCCTGCAGCAGCATTTACGGTCAAAATTTGCTATCTGAATTGTCTTGATATATATAAGAAATTATATATATATATATAGACCATGTGTATTTGTGTCCAATGCTGATGTCTGTACTGAGACCAGCTGATGTTGAACAGAATGTAAAACACCAACGTTTTCAGCTCTAAATAAAAATGAAGAGTTCTGAACTTCAGTTTTAGAGTGTATTAGAACCATCCATGATGAAATGTGTGGCAAATTAATTAGGCACGAAGAGATTCTGTAAGTAAAGATCAGATCTTCCATAGGCAGGCAAATCGAGCATGCATACAGCATCTCAGAGAAAGAAATCAGGATTCCTTCCTCAAGGCATCATCTTGTCATATCCTATTTCCATGCATTGAGCAACTGAGCATCTGAATCACAAAAGGAATGTACTGTATATCCACTTTGTTGTCTTTAGAGTTATAATATCCTTTCCCCTTCATTGGAGTCTGTAAATCCTCAGATGGCCCAATGAGCCTAGTAATGAGTTCGAAGATGAAGTTCTGATCCAGATGCAGAGCAACAGAGGTCTGTACATGTTAATGTTCACCCTGCAGAAGCAACTCCACACTCATGGTCAGTGCAAATAGAATTGTGCAAATCTACAAATCACTTAGTGTCCCAAATCTTTTTTCTTAATCAGTGTTTTTGTCTTGTTTCCCAATAAAAGTCCCTAAAATAAATATGCTTAAATTGTACGAGATATTAAGAAAATCAATTGAATTTTCTTAACCCTATTGCTGTTTTAATTATAATTAAATGTATATATTATCTTATACCATTTTCATTCTCAAATATATCTCGTTTTATAGAGACTCAGATATTGTTTTTGGAAAACAAGACAAAATACTGAGAAAAAAAGTTCAGAACTGCAGTCCAGAAATTTGCAGCCAGCCCAGTGTTTCCTTCCTGACTATACTGGGTGAGGAGCATGGGGTTTCCCACGATACTGCTGTCTCCGTAAAGGTGGATGAGGAGCAGGTCTGTACATATAAATAAGACTTTTATCAGATTATACTTTTTCCCAAAGACAATACTTTACTCCATTGACTGTTGAATATTCTTCATTTGCGTGAAAATGTCCTCTCACCTGGCAGGAGCAGCAGCCGATTCTGAATGTCCCAGCCGTGGGGATGGAGGTGGGTGGGGTGAAGGATCCACAGGCAGTGGTTTCTTGGGAACCGGAGGTTTGGGAGGAACAGGGTTCTGAAACAGGACGAGGTGATACAGAGTCAGTATGGACTTTGTTTTTTGTCTTATAGGTTCAATTTGCAATTTATTATAGTTCAAAATAGCACTGCTCTGAGATAATTAGATACAAGAGCACATTAGTGTTGTTAATAGAGGGCTACACTTTACACGCCTGTGGTGATACCTGTCGGGTAGAGAGGACAGGGTCAGGAGGGAGGGGCTTGCTTGGTGCAGCCGGTCGAGTTCCTGTGGGCTAGACGTACAGTCGCAGATGCAGCCATGTGACAGAAAAAAGCAGGTGCTCAGTGAGACTAACTTGTTTTCTACATTTTTTTCTACAATTTTTTCAAATCATTGGGAATGAAACTATTCCATCGTGATATTCCCTTGATTGCAAGTCTAATTTAGTCTAATCAAGTCTAATTTACTGAGACCGGACTGAATCAAAGGCCATGCACTGCACAACTGATTCTTCTGATTAATTCCAGCAAGATTCTGCTCAAATATTTCAGTTTTCACCTTGCAGAGAGACTGGGAGAGATATACAAACTCATAAATTTTGATGGGGAGAGGGGGGCAAAGACTTAAAGATAACTGACTGTGTTTACGTGAATACTTGCCAAGACCGGCAGTCTGACCAGTGTTGTAGTACTCGAGACTCGGACTCGTCTCGGACTCGGTCTCGAGACCATATTTTAATGGTCTTCTTGGTCTTGTCATGGACTCGTGTCCATTTGGACTCGGAATTGACTCGTACTCGAACATTTTTTTTTTTTTAGGACTCGGAATTATTCCCGAGTCCACTCGAGTTCAATTAAAAATATTTTTCATGATTATTAATGCATGTTAATAAAATATTTCTTTAAATTGATTGACACGCCCAGTGATTTGTGATTTTCTAGTGCGCAACTGCGCATGACAAATTGTAATAAAATTACTTTTAACACCACCTACTATGTGGCCTTTTTACCCTAAACTGATCATATTTTTTAAACTCTAAGTAAATTCAGTAAAAAAAAAAAAAAGGATTTCTCTAAGTAAATAAAAGTAAATTAGGTAATAACCCTCACTGGTCTCGGTCTCGAATCGGACTCGACCGTCTCTGGTCTCGGACTCGACTCGGACTCGACTCTCTATGGACTCGGTCTTGACTCGGACTCGACTCTCTCTGGTCTCGGTGTCGACTCGGACATATTGTTGACATTAACATATTGTACAGTGATTTGTGTATATTGTGATACTGTCTATTGTGGTTGTGGGGAAAATGTGAGGGAAAAAAGAATATTTGTTTACAAACCTAATTATTCTAAAGATATTAGCATTCAAGTCAACTGAACTCAATTTCTTTTTCTAGAAATACTGTAGATTGTATGTTATGATGAATTAGATGTTGATGAAACTTTTTCTTTATGGCGATGTTTGAAAATATTCCAGATTACATGCTCTCCCTCAGTCTGATCTCTACACACTCCATTCACTCCAGAAGAACCATCAGCCCGTCCACATGCACAAAACACCAACATCTCACTGTTAAACCCAAATGACAGGGACACACGCACAACTCCACATGCAAAGCCACACAAAGACTTGGACCACGACTAAGAACATGGAGTGAGTTTCTAAAGGGTCGAGACAAAACAACAGACAGTTAAACATGGCAGCTACAGCAGGAAGTGCTCCCTCTACCTTGCACTGCATCTTGCTCTCTGAGGGGGCAGGGTCAGGAGGGAGGGGTTTGGTGGGAGGGGCAGGCCAATGCCCTGCCAACTGACGAACCAGAAAAAGCAATAAAACAGTAATGCTTTGTAATTATATGACACCGTCCGCTACATCCACCAGATCAGCTCTATACGTCTCTATTCCTCACAAGCTTGGTGAGCATGATGAGATTTACCTGAGCGGGTTTAGAGACAGGATCAGGTGGAAGAGGTTTAGTTGGAGGAGCAGGTCTGTGCTGGACCTAACAAGACAAAAGTTTTGTGGAGGGGGTAGTAGAGAGGGAGTGAACATTTACAGCACATGCACGTTATAATAAGAAAAGTTGGTTAGCTGTTTTAGGCATAACAGTAAAAAATGTCTGGTATTGTTACGATAGAGGCAGAAGCAAAGACATTGGAGCTTCAGTTAACAAGTTACTGTAAGATATTTTTGCAGTTTGTGTAGGAACAAAAATTCATGCAGGGAAGGTTCGTCAGAGAAGCAACGTATGTGTTAGAAACAGTCACCAAAAGCATTTGGCCTTTGGTTTATACTGCATAAATCACATTTTTTCAGCAGATCGATGAAAGAGTCAACCAGACCGCTTTTGGTACCGCTCAGTAGGTTTGCTTGACCTTTCAATGGTTCTCCTTAAAGGCACAATATGTAGGATTTTTGTAATAAAATATCCAAAAGCCACTTGCACATTGTGATATATTTTTATATCATATTTTATACACATGTGTAAACCCAGAGAATTCCATAATGGAATGAAATATATATGAAATTTAAATAATGGCTCATCCCTTGTCATTGTCACCTATCAATGACGTAATGTCTGCACCATCCTCCGTTTCCGCTTATAGAGAAACCATAGATGTATATATATAGATCATAGAACCCATAAGCCACTGATGAGATATACAGTATATATGACACAGAATCTAGCACGTCACTTTTGTGTCATTTAATCATCATGCATCACGAGTACAGACAATTCCAAAAAAGTAAACATAGATGAAATGAGGCAAGAAGGGTTTAATATTAGAAGGGTAGTAATATTTAATATTTAGAAGGGTAATATTTCATAATATTACTTTTTATTCACTGTATTTTTGATCATATAAATATAGTTGTTGTGAGCATAAGATACTACTTTCAAAAAGATCTTACAGTGGTAGTGATTGTCAAAATCTTCATCACACGGCGCTAAATGATCATTTTTGTTTTAGGTACCACCGTATGTTTTTTGGTACCAGTTTACATACATACCGTACATCTATAACACATTTCATTGTGCATGATCACCAGCTTCCAGCAGCTTCCTCTGATATTATTTCCTTTCTGGACATAGTGATCCTCACTGGGGGATAATTTCTCTACTTCTGACTCTCAGTAACCCTACACCACATTATAGAAGATCAAGCTCCAGTAATTGTATCATCGAATGGGCCAGATGCTCGGGGGAGCACTGTTTTTCTGTAGAGCAGATTTACTGTACCTTACTGATAGCCTGGGTGAGAGGGATGTCGCTCTGGAGGGGCCACTGGTACCTGAGCGGTTGCACCTGATCTCCATTTCGAGCATTAGCTAACTCCATGGCAGGAGTTCTGTGAGGAAAATACAAGATATTCACAATATTACACACATTCATATATTTTTTAGACACTCGATGAGAACATTGTTGCTGATCAATTGTACATACCGATAATAACTGAATCACAAAGAGCATAAAAAAGCATCTCACTATATAAATCTACTTTACAAACACCAGAACTGTTGTGTAATAGGGAACTGGAGAACGGGGTGGGAAAGACAGCTAGCAGGGACACACTTAACAATTGAGATTAAACAAACATTTTTTCTTCCAGCAACACAGACCTTTGGTGTGTTGAACAAATTTAAGAAACTCTTCATTGTGATGGTTTTGCTGAAAGTCCCACAACACAGAACCAGAGAGGAGCTTGTCAATGACAGTCAGTCAATGTTAAGCTCAATTACATACATTTTTCATTGCCATTCAAAGGTCATGCTGGTGAGAGTCAAATGTTCAACTAATGTTTAACCAAGTATAACAACAAACTGAAGCTCCACATTCACAGATACCTCCGGTTTTCCTCCTTCACACTGTAATCAATATAGGCCACCAAGACCCTACTGCATCATGGGTAAAACACAGTAAAACATTATCATTAATGATTTATCATATGATCTACGACTCTAATGAAGGATCTTCTCTCTTATCTCATATTAACACTTCAGGTTGTCATTTCTGGCTGGTTGTTTTTATGTCGCCAGTGTTTTTTACACTATGCTGATTAAGGTGAGTTTATCAAATTACAATGATGAGTCACTGACAAAAAGTGTCCACAACAAAGAAAAGGAAAAATCTTTTTATAATCACTGTTTGTATGTATTTTGGTTTCAAATGCTTTTAGGAAAAGTTTTAATATAATGACTTTAAGGTGTAATCATCAAGTCATATTAAAGGGGTCATAACATGGATTTTTTTATACAGTATGGTCCTTGAGGTTCACTTATAATATTAATAACGTTTTTTGTTCAAAAAACAAACAAACATGTATATGTGGAAAAATATTATATTCAACCCTCATTCCGTAATGATCCGTTTTTAAGGGGCAGCTCCTTTAAGGCTTGTCTGTAACGGCCACTAAAATCATTGCATAGAAAACAGTGTAAACGTCCACTCGCTATTGCATGCGAGTATGTTTTTGAAAACATTATCCATATAAAGTGTAAAGTGTATCCATATAAATGCGTTTTTTCGTATTCGTGATTCTGTGGCTGTGAATTGTCAAAACACCATTCAAACAGCTCGCTACGGATGCAAAAAACGCAGAAAAACGAAACCGATCCGATTTTTTTTTATGACGGACAAAAGTTTCGGAGGCAGTGTGCAAGCGTGATTGACATAACGTGAGGTCGTATTTATTTTTTTAATGAGCGGAAACTTTGGACACGAATTTCGGACTCAGTGTGCAAGAGCCTTAAGTTAAGACCGTCGTTTACAGACAAAGCATTATGAAATTACTTATGGTTTGCAATGCAGCTGCTATCAGATCCAATATAGCTGACTGCTTCATCTTTAAACAAAAGATTTTGCGAACTCTTCCTTACACTGTGCCTCATTTACAAAACTATCTGGAGGCAAATTCTCCTTACAAACATATAGTCCTCCGACGTGAGACGTCACAAATCCCAACAGAAATAGAAATCACAGACCTCTTATATGTCAAAGGTCAAGGCAAATTTGAAAATGAATCGCATTTTTAATGTATCTTATGATATTGACCCTCAATGAATCATTTTCGGGTGTACACAGTAAAGTGAGATAAATTGCATCAATAATGTATGTCATTTTTCTGTCCCTAAGTCTTTTGATCAGTCTCACCGGCTCTGTCGGGTCTTGCTGAAGGGGGTGTGGCCGAGGTAAACAAGGCCTCGTCGACAGCGGGGGAAGCGGAGTGCGACAAACAGCAGTGAGACCGGCAACACAAACAGGAAAATGACCAAAAGAGCCACCCGCGCAGGATCTGAATCTGTATGCAGACAAAAATGAGGCTAAACATTAGTACGGCAATGTAATCATTGTAATGATGTGTTTGTGTGTGTGTGTGTGTGTGTGTGTGTATACAGTACCTCTGGGTTCTCGAGCAGGGCCGCTGTCCACACTGCCTCCGGTTCCAGAATATCTGCAGTCAGGAGGAGCCCAGCCCTCAGCACAGTGACAATTCTTATTACTGTTACACACCTACAGACAAAATAGAGAAGGAGAAAGTGAAACTGCAAGTTTAAGTGACACATCCCTCTTTTTCTGCTCCTCCCCCTCCCCCTCCTCACCCCGTGACCATTGCAGTTCCTTCGACATTCTTCAACACCAAACATGGACACGTCCCTGCATCGTTGGTCCACACATGCCTAAAAATACAATGTTACAAAAAAAATCAAACATACGATAAATGTAATTTTGTATAAATTTCGAATAAAAAGTATTTTTACTACGTCATAAATCGATCTCTATATATTATTTAATATTATGAAATAATATTAATATTATTATTATATATTTTTAATATTATTATAACACTTAAAAGTAAAATTTTGTATGAATATATTTTTAGATGTAATTTATTTCTGTGATGGCAAAGGTGATTTTCCAGCAGCCACTAGTGTCATATAATCATCAGAAATCATTCTTTCAGCATTCTGCTGATTTGATGCTCAAGAAACAGTTTTTATAGAAAATTTTTCAGGATTTTTTCAGGAACAGCCTTTATGAACTAACTGAACTGTACAATAGGCATGTATTTAAAAATGCAGAATCCATCATGTCTGATAGTTCTCACCCCTTGCATGCAGAATTTAAGACGCTGCCTTCTGGTTCTCACTTTAGTCAGCCACCAGCCAAAACAAATAGATTTAAATTCCACTTTGTACCCTCAGCGATCTCTCTGCTTAACTCTGTAAAGAATAGGTAATGTCTGCACAAAAGGCATACTTGAACTTAAATTTTAAATGTTGTAGTTTCCATTTCCATTTGTTTGATTCTGTATTTTAATCAATATTGATGTTGTCATCTTTGTTGTCACGTACTGTATGGTAACTTCTTCGCTACTGCAGCAAAATTAATCGCCCCTCGGGGACAAATAAAGCTGAATTGAATTGAATAAATTGCTTGAGTGTAGAAAATCTCAAACCCGATTAAAAAAAAATAAACAAACACACTAAATCTGTATTAAATGTATTAAATTACCAATCCTAAAAAAAGTACACATTTTATGGAGACTCACCTTGTTGGGCCCACAGGCCGTCCCCTGGGACACCATGGCTGGGTCAGAAACATCATCACCCAGATTAAAATAGGTCCCCCGGCAGGTAAAATCACTCTGGTTCAATATGACCGTTGTGGTCAGAATCTCAGCGTTGGAGCCCAACAGGGGACGTTCACTTCCACCCTGACACTGGATCCTACCACAGTGCACATCCCTTAGCAAAATAGAGCACATAAAATGCAATGTAATTAAACAACATTTCTGTTGAATTTATTAGCACAATTTATAAAATAAATGCTTTTTTCCCCACAAACTGACTAATGGACACGAAACAATCATGATCATGTCTGTGATTAAATAAAAAAGCTCATTCCAGACTACAAGTCCTCACCCTTTCAAACAGGGGATATAGGATCCGTTGGGCATCTGGCCACAGTTTCCGTACTTATTGCCCTGCTTATTCACAGATGAGAAGCAGATAGGTGGAGCGTGGGTGGAGTCTTAAAGGGGCGGAGAGAACAGAGAACGAACCACAATAAATCTAGTCACTATTTGTGAATAATCAGAATCCTCATTGTGGAGTATGTGACACTCACTCGGTCCCCAAAGCATTTGGCACTGGTCGTCTAGGCTGGCACACACGCCGCTGTAGCAGTAGGAGGAACCGTCCTTGCATGACTCTCCATTCTGAAGAAACACATTGGGAGGACAGTAGGGGGAAGTGCCGGTGCAGTACTCTGGTAAATCACACTCTCCCAACGGCTCTCGACACACCGACCCGGCCACACGCAACTATGGGGAAAGAGATGATTGGGATGCAGTGAGAGAGAAGCATTAGCGGCACATACCTGAGTGAGTATTTATTTATAAGCAAACATACAAACCTTGCAGTTCTCACAGCAGATGCCATCAGAAGAGCACTGGGCCCCAGGAACCAGTTTACACGTGCTGGCATTGCAGCAAGGATCATTACATTCCTGAACAGACATAGACAGAAAGTAGATTACAGAGGTGGAGAGCATATTACAACATTATTGTTTTACAATCCTATGTACTGTATTATGATTAGGGGTGGGAATCATTGAAATCTAATGGTTTGATTTAATTCAGCATTCTTGATTTTGAATCGAATTTTGATTTGATATAATGTAGTAAAACTTGTCAGTTTTTTCCGCGTCTTTCATTTCGGGATGATAACGTGCATTAGTCTCAATATAAGTTATTAAATGAATTATTGTCACCTTTTATGTAAAACTCTTACTGTACATAAAATTCGTTAACCTCTGCCATTTTTGCTCTGAAAACATGATGTTATTAACTAACATTAAAAAAAAATTGAGATTTGTGAATCAGTAGAAGATAGAATCACAATTATATAAATCCATCTGATGATTTGTTATTTGTGTCTGTAATGTTTGCTGTCAGCTTAAAGGGATACTACACCCTTTTCTTTTTTCACAATTATTTACCCAAACCTGTATGACTTTCTTTCTGCTCTGAAACTAATAATGTAGCAATTTTTGTTCCACAGAAGAAGAAAAAAAGGCATGCAGGTTAGGAAAAACAAAGGTAAGTAAACTATGGCAGAGTGTTAATTTTTAGATGAAATATTCCCAAGTTGTCAGATGCACTTTGTCGTAAGTCACCGGTAAATGAAGCAGAACCAGGGACCAATAGACAGGAGGCGGTTTCTTACATCCAGCAGGCCGCAGTCACACTCCTCTCCTTTCTCCACATACAGGTTCCCGCAGCGTGGACCTCCCAGAAGGCTCTCTGGCTGAGGCACATTAAACAGACACATACCGCCACCGTGCAGTAGACTGAGAGAGAGATCCCGTTCGCTGCAGCTGCTAAAGAGCTGACCGGGCATAAACCTGCACATGGGAGAATTTACTACGTAAGTTTGTACTGCATGATTTATCACTAGCGATTATATCACTCATTTTTTCAATCACCCAGTGGAGGGCTCCATGATGCAGCCCCCAAGCCGAGGCTCGTTCTGGCACTGGCAGCGCCTGTCGGCCGTGTCGTGACTCATTCCCAGGTTGTGACCCAACTCATGAGCCACCGTTGATGCCACACCTAACACACTCACAAGGTGATCCTACAGTACAGGAAACACAGGTGAATACTAGAACAAGAGCTAAAGACCGAGATTAAATGAACGATTTCTCTCACCACATTCACTCCTCCTGACCGATCCTTTGAGCACATCGAGGACTGAGACGCCATGCCGACTGTCGTCCCATCAAATGGCTCACCCCTAACATATATAAGCACATATCGCAATTCTGAATTATTTTCTTGTCTATTAATACCCGATCACTCTGCGCGCATTTTTCTGGGAATCTCGACCTACATGATCAGCTGTGCGTTGTCATGCCTCAGTCGTGGAAGTAGATCCTTGGTCCTCCAATCCAGGAAGCGGTTCAGGGTTTCAGTGGGACTTTTATCCACTTGAATCTTGTCCTGGTCACTCCAGATCTCCAAACCCACCAGAGCCACACGTACATTCAGCGGCCTGTAGAACTGAGACAGAGGGCCAAAGGCAGAGATTTAGACAAAGTCTAAGACTCACTAGTGCCTGTATGGTGACAAGGAGTATTATATTTAAAATATTTAAAAAATGTTTCAGTTACTAACGTAACCTCGGTCCCCTGAGATAACGGGAATCGTCATCTAATCTTTCGACTGAGGAGCAATAGTCAACTCGTGTGCAAGCGCAAGTAGCTTGACAAGTTAAGTAATGCTCACTCGTTATCTCAGGAAATTGAGGTTAAGTTGGTAATCGAAAACGAATCCCCAAAACGTGTCAATTGCTGACACAATCTAATAGTGCTGTGCTAATAGCTAAATAGCTAATATGGAGTGACAAGGCCCCCATTGCAGGCAACGTAAGTGATAGGGATAATTTTAAAGTTTGTCCAATTAGAGAAGCCTAGGTTTAGGGGCCGAATCCCATGTGGCATGGGGAAACAATATTCATGCCTGAAGAGCAGGGACGTCCAGATGTTAGCAATGGACACTCTGCTGCTAGACCAAGGCTATGAGGAGGCCATACCCCTGGTGGAGTGAGTTCTGACCTTTTTACAGTCTGCGTTCTAGTATCGCTATAGTATAAATGTACATTTGGATATATAACTTACCCAGTCTACTTGGTTTGCCACATCCAACATGCGGTAAATCATGGTTTTATTATTCTTCTGATAATTCATATACTGTGAGGAAGACAGAAAAATAATGGAAACAGATTAAAAACCGAAGTCTTCAACATTTAGATAAATGAAAGGGAAACCAATTAAGAGTAGATGTGATGAAGTATATTCACCACTAGAGGGCGTCTGTCTCATGTGTTTTATGACTGTATGTGTATGTGTGTGTGTGTGCGTGACAGAGATTCTTCTACTCTCTTACCTCCTTATGATCCGCCACCAGCACCAGCTCAATATATTTGGTCTCTGAAAGAATGTCTCTCTTACTCTGTCACCCAACAGCAGAAAAGGATCATGAGAACAATCAGATGAATATGCATACCTATAAATACTCAAAAGCACAGAGCTCGCATGCTCACCCTGTGTGTGTGGGGGATGATCTGAATGGGAGGAATAGAGGTGTGTGACACTCCACAGTCTCTAGACTCAAATGTTTGCAAGTTTGTCGGGTAGATCATGTGTAGCCATCTTTCCATTTCTCCACTCCCTTCCTCATCTTTTCCATGCTCTTCTTCCTCAGGATATAGCTCAAAGCTCAGTGTGGCGTTAATGACTATTAATCCCCTGTGGAGAGAAAAAGAAGTGCCATTACTGACTAACACAGACTGAACATGTTTACACACATCTGACACAAACATATGATTTATGTATACTCAAATGTGTGGGCTATGAATACATTGCAGTTCAATAGTGGGGGTCAGTGGGATTTTTATTGAAATAAATAAATTATGCATTAAATTGACCAAGAAAATCAACCTGATCTCACGACCAAGTCGTACGAATTCGACGAATGATTAAAAAGTGGCTAATTCGTAACAATTCACACGACCTCACTCGTGCAAATTAATACGATTTTGCTAAATCGTACATATTTTACGAATTGGCCCATTCGTATGAATTCGTACGAATTACCTACCCCTTACCCAGCCCCTAAACCTAACCATCACGTGGGTTTAGACAAATCGTACGAATTAGTACGAGTGAGGTCGTACGAATTAGTACGAATTAGACACTTTTTAATCATGCGTCGAATTCGTACGAATTGGTCGTGAGATAGTGTTGATAAAATTGCCACTAAAGATTTATATTTAAAATAAATGCTGTTTTTACTATCAAAAGATCCTTTTAAAAACATATCACCGTTTTTACAAAAATATTAAGCAGCCACTGTTTTCAACTTTGATAATAATAAGAAATGTTCCTTAAGCATAAAATCTGCATATTAGAATGATTTCTAGTAATAAATGCTGAAAATTCAGCTTTGCCATCACAGGAATAAATTACAATCCAAAATGTACTAAAATAGGAAACATTTATTTGAAATTGTAGTAATATTTCAGAATATTACTATTTTACTGTATATCAAAGTAATGCAGCCCTTTAAAACAAAAAATCTTACCAAACACAAACTTTTGAACAGTAGTGTATGTGGTCAATTTGGTCATACTAATAACATCACAAACCTGATGTCAAACCCATAAACAATCTGTACTAATAATTCTGGTGAAGGTCAACTGTCATTGATAATCTGTTAAAATATACAGACTCCCTTCTCATATTTCCTCCATTGCTTTCACACTCCTTCTGGCAGACTAACAACCCCATGACCTGAAATATAAGCTGGTCTTACAGTTTACTAATAAATTAAGCCACAGTTTAAAGTTTAGCAATGACCATAATTTAATAGAATCTCTCAAAGAAAGTGATCAGTGAGGTATAAGACTGCAAGAAACACATCTGTATATTTGAAAAAAGTAAAGCAAATATTACCGTAACCCAGAGCAGGAGCTGAGAGCCACGCGGGACTGAGGGAAACCTTGCACTGAACCGTGATAGTAACAATGTGTCTGACAAAGGAACAGATAAAATGTACATTAAGTGGCTTCAATAAGAGTAACATTGCAAAACGCGCAATGAATTAAACATGCGCTTGTGTACTATGAAGGACTCCACTCACCACTAGGTTCTCCTTCATGGATACCCCAGTTCCATTTGGCAAATAGTAGAACACATTAGGCGGCTTTGGCAAAAGATCTCTGCAAACAAATGTCCATATATTATGATTTTATCTTCATTAGCTGCTGATTAGACTCACAGGAAATTACTTACTGGTTTTTTTCCAGGTCTAGGATATACAAGCTGCTTCCCACTTGTAAACCACACTGCAATCTGTCAGGGTGACCATTCTGGAGAGAATGAGAGAGAAAGAGAGAGAAACAGAGATTTCATGTTATAAAGAGATAATCTGAATAGTGTATTTGTTAGATATAACAAACTCTTGAACCTATTTATGAGTCCCACTGCTCCACCTCAGCAAATGTTACAAAAAAAAATTGAATTCAGATCAGTCCAGATGAGATCATGTTTTCTTTGTGAACACATTATGTTAAACCTGTGCATCAGAACATTTATTATTTATTAACAATTATTACAATTGTTTCTATAAAAGTTTTGTATCTTTTATAGCAAGTATGTTTTATAGTTTTGTAGCAAGTATCCCTTCTTTAAAAACAATATTATTCATTAATATAATACATTTTAATAGTTACTAAAAACCATCATACTTCTCATTCATCCTACTTCTCAACATCATCATTAATTATGCAATTGCATTAATTATTCTTACAATAAAAAAGACTGAGACTGAGTATTGTGACTGAGTGTGAGTGGCCAAACGGACATAAAAATACAGCAAATACAGTAGTAGTAGTAGTAGTATCATTTATTATCCCTGAAAGGAAATTTGTTTTGGACTACATGATTGCTGCATATACTTAGAAATTTACAATATAAAAGTATAAAAAAGCATATAAAAAAAAAGATTACAGTAAATTGTGAAAAGTAAAAAGACAGTAGATTGTGATATGAAAGTTAATTATCTAAAATTATATAAACTGTTTTATAGGATTACAAATGTAATGTCTTCCCAAGTCTCCTGTGGTTTGGAATCACTGCATCAGCACATGACCAGAAGAAAAGATGGGTTCTCTGAGAGGACGAAATAGCTTCATTTTAGAGGGTGAACTAGGCTATAAACAGACTTCCCCTCCTCCAGACTTTTTCTGTGCCTTTCTCTCATCTCACTTCCTATTCTAAGCACCTTTTCCTGCCATTCTATCACATCCCCTTGGCTCGCACACACATTCAGCAGCCTGATGAAAAAGTGAAACGCTACTCAGCTTCCTGTTATACCACTGCTACCATTTCCTGCTTTTCTCCAATGTGCTAATGGGAACAGCTCACTTTATTGACCACTCCTTCTCTCAGCCAATGAAATCAGGTCCATCTGACCTCTCTCATGCACCAGCCATTCAGAACATGTTATACTGGCTGCTCTATTTCCCTGCCAGTCAAAGCAAGTCGGGTATCTCTCATAACAAACTCACTTTAAAAGTAAAGGTTACATCTGTTCTCTCTATTTATATAAGTGAGCTAACTTAGTCTTAATTCTCAAAAGCATGCAGAGCAACCATGCAGTCCAATAACTCACATAATAAACATATAACAAATAATATTTTAATAAATCATTCAAAAAGACTAAAAATTATCCTTTTACTGGACTCTAAAATCTGTTGTCAAGGTTCAGTGACGCTGGTGACGTAAGACGCTGCTGACGTGTATCTGGTGTGTCCGGATATGGTTCGTATTCGGTATCGGTAAACGAGAAGGCAGCAGAGGAACACAGTCAGCAGTCACAGTTCAAGTTTCTCTTCGTTCACACTTGACTCTGGATAAGGATTCGTGTGGAAGTGAACTTCACGGGTGTAGTTGCTAGACTCGCAGCGTCTGCAGCGGCCGCTGTTTACCGGTTGGTCGAGAGTGAACAACCAAAAGTAGGTTTCGTGCCGTGTGTCTTTGGAAACTTTCAGACACCAACTGCAACGCGGTGATCGTCTCAAAACCTTACTGTCTCAGGTAGCTAGCCTACTCGCGTCAAACTAAGCCTGAAATACACTACTGAGGTGTTGTGTGCTTTCCTGACAGTGACCAACGAACTTAACACATAGCTACACTTGCACACGACTACACACACGCATAACGTATACGATACGAGCCCATTCAATCCACGCTCGCTTTTGTTTTGTTGTTATTTTGTTAACTTACGCGATTATGTATTTGAGAATGACGATCTGCATTTAACGTTAAATGTAAATGTGCGTGGTTTTGCGATACTAATTTGCATTTGTGGACTTGAAATCGTGGTTTGATTATCGCGAACCGTTAACGTTACAGCCGTCAGCCATTGTGAAATGTTGTGTTGAATGTTATGGTAAAAGACGAATGTGTTGAATGTTTTGGTAAAATACGAATATAAATATTTACTTTGAATCGCTTTGGTGGAATGTTTTTTTAGGGTGGGTAATTATATTTTGTGTTTTTGAGTGTAATTGGTGGTTTTGAGCTATCTGGCTAAATCATTAAATGTGGTATACTGCTTAAATCTACCTGGCGCCCGAACTAATTAATTTCAAAGTTAAAAACTCCCTTGGCAAGGGTGGGCAATTAGTATTAGCACAATTAGTATGTGTATCGGATTCAAATAAATATGGCTGGGCAGAAAAATGCAAGTCTTCCTCTGTGTCGAAATCCTTACACATGTTTGCGAAGATTGTTTTGTTTACAGCGTGCGTCACCCTCAGACTATAAGCGAAGCTCGGGAGCACCAGATGACACGTCAGCAGCGTCTTATCTCATCAGCATAACTGAACGTGGCTTGACAACAGAACCGACAGACAATACAATGCTGTATAAAGTCATAGTTTTTGTTATTTTTGGACCCAAATGTATTTTCGATGTTTCAAAACATTCTAACTAACCCACTGGTGTCACATGGACTACTTTGATGATGTTTTTTATTTCCTTTCTGTTCAAGGACAGTATATTGTACATAGCCTACATTTTTCAATGGAGGGACAGAAAGCTCTCGGACTAAATCTAAAATATCTTAAACTGTGTTACGAAGATGAATGGAGGTCTTACGGGCTTGGAACGACATGAGGGTGAGTCATTAATGACACAATTTTCATTTTTTGTGTGAACTAACCATTTAATTTCCCTGTCTACATGTGATATCAGCTAAAAAGAAAAAGCTGCAGAGATGAAGCAAGTTAATGTATTTTGATGAGAGGTAAAAACGACAGACTTTTTCTTATATAACATGGACTTAGGAATTATGCACAACAGACCAGGAATGTGTATTAAGTAAATTGCGATAGTTTTGATTTCCTGTCTCAAGTAGGAGACAGTTCGATCAAATCCTGCATAATCAAAAGGCAAAATGTGAAACCTCTTAAAGATCTCTCAGATCTCATCCAAACTCTTGAAAAAGTAGAAGAAGAAGAAAAAAAGCAGGGGTGAATTCAGGTTAATTGGGATATTTTTTTGCCATTGAGCTTTACCACTGTGGAGTTTGGTTTATCAAAAGGTCTTGAGACTGACATCACAACAGCTTCACTCTCTTTTCCACATCTTCAGCCATTTACCAAGCTGCACAACACACCCATACATACACGCACTTTCTTAAAAAAACAGGATCAAAACTGAAGCCCACATTCAACCATCAGATACAGTTCCAGCATTGTTCAGGTTTCCTTTATAACCATAGGTGTCTAATGTAGGCTATATGTGTATTACTGTCAGATGAATCTGGTGAGCGCCTTTACAAACTCATGGGAACAGACGGCAGTTCACTGGGAATGGATGGATCGCTTGTCTCTGAACAACCATGGGCAAGTCAAGCTAGTGTCTGAGGCAAAGATGAAAAAGAGTGTATGCGTGCATGGTCGCTGCAGGACCCACAAAACTGGTAAGGCATTAAGATTTTTTCAGGGGGACATTGTATATTTACACTGAATAATTATTTATTAAAAGATATAATGCATTGTAATGTACATTATGAAAAGCATACCCTTATGATGCTTTATGTAGGAAGGCTTCAAGTAGTGTAACCAAATATTGGACTCAGAATTAAAATGTCTGTTGTTATTATTTTTATGATGTACTCTCCTTTAATGGCATTCCAATCTCATGTGACCTTTCTTTACTAAATCAAATGAGATATTTAGACTGTCGAACCCTTTTCCATACAATTACGATGAAAAGAAGTCAGGTTTTCAAGCTTCAAAAACAGACATAGTAAGCACGATATTAAGTCTTATAAAGACATTGTTTGAGGAACATTAAAAACTTGTTACTGAAAATCTTGATATCTGCCCTAGCTCTTTCTGATATGTTCATGAGAAAAGACACATTTGTGAATGAATTATTATTTTAAGTCAAATATTTTAATAAAAACAGTATGAATGATCTATTTACTGATCCAGATATTCAAAAAACTTGAAAAATACAATTTCAGGACCACTTTTTTGATGCTGTTATTGTGCTTTTATGTCCTCGTCAAAACTAATGTTCTCCAGAAGAAACAAAATCACAGTAAATCATGACAGAATTTTCTTCTTTCTTTTTGGTGAACTATCCCTTTAACCACTCTCCATCCCTGAATACTAATATCTGCTTCTCCCTTTCCCCTCTTTCTCACTCTGCCTCAGCCAATCTGGTCTCCTGTCTCCTGTTTCCTCTTTCTCCCTTTATTCTGTTATTGCCTTCTGCTGTAGCCTCTCTTTCTGTCTGAGGTAATGTCCCTGAGCACATGCAGTTTGCAGCGCGATGACCTCAGCAGCAGATGAATGCTGGGTGGGGTACTTTTTAGAGGCTAGCTGAGGGTGGAGGGAAAAAAAAGAGTGCGTAAGGGAAGGGGAGAATGGGTGGAGGATGGGGATTGTGTTTGCATGTAACTTAACTGCTCATATGGTTATTAATTTCTAGGTGTTTCTAGAAACAAAAAATGTTTAATGTATATCTTTAACTACAGTATAAGTTCTTGGTTCATAGAGTCGCACATGATGAAATGAAAGATGTGCGGTTGAGTAAGTGAGTCAGATTAATTAGAAAAATGAGACAGCTGATTCATAAGTGTTGGTGATTCACTAAAAAGAACTGCCTCATAAGAGCCTCATCATTATCATAAAAATTCACTGTGGTCATGATGCTGTAGATTTGTGACTCTCTGTAATGTAACGACTCACAGACGCGGACCTACCAGGCAAAGTTAGGCAACGCCTTGGGCCCCCAGAAGCCAAGGGACCCCCTAAAAATGTTTTTTTTTTTGTTGTCTTTTTGTCTGCTTGCAGCAAATTAAAATATCACGCATCAGAAGCAATAACTAAATATTGAGCTACTGCACTGGTGTGAAAATTATGATATGGGAAGTCTAAGCAACACCCCACCGCTCAGACAGTTCCATGTGTAATTCCCAGGGGGTAATCCATCAACCGGAAGTTGAAGCCTTGCGGGAGCCACCATCTTGTAGCAGAACTTCACTTGTGTTAGCATTTCCATTCATTTTGGCGTCACTTTGACAGGGAATAACTTTACATCTGAGGCGTTTGAAGACTTCATTTGCCCATTATTTATTTCTAAAGAAACACGACAATGTATAAAATGCTCCATTACCTTGTAGATTATGTTATGGCCCCGTAGAAGCTGTTTTTTTTTGTAAAAGTAGGCTAACGATTGCGTCATAACCATCCGACTCTCTATCGCACAGTAGAGAGATTACCGTATAGACAGGAGAAGCACGTGGGCAATTGGGGAAGTGTGGAGGCAAAATGACAAAATAATTAATCAGAATACCGAGCAAAAGTTTCTCCTGCTCCTAGCTCATGGACAGCTCCTACTCGCACTCGCCACCTCTGCAAGTTTCGGAAGGGAATGATTCAGATTTCTCATGCCACAGCCACTAGAAGACAGACGGGTTGCTCACGTCACACCTACGTCGTCAAGCTCTGTTTGAGTCGGTTTGAGTCTGCGCGTCAGGAACGGAAGTCCTAAAAATGGGCTTCACTTGTCTCAATCGAGTTCAATGAGATGGCTCTGTCCACTTCTTATACTGGGACGGGGCTCCCAAATCACAAAATTCACCCCTGCTAAATCATAAGGGTTAGAGAAAGGGTTGCTCACTTAGAGAAACTGCTGAAAGAAAGGGTTCATAAAAGTAATTTGATCGAGTCTTCACTGGTAGCAATATATGTTTAACACTACAAAGTAGTGCAGATAATCACTTTCAATCATATTTTTATCAGTAAATGTTTAATTGAACCTGGTTCCTAACCTTAGTCTAAATGGTAGTCACCATTTTTATTGTATGTGAATATAAATAAAGCTATGTGGTATACTGCAATATCGCTGTATAAAAACTCTTTCTAATTGCTGTACTGATGTAGATGAGCTCCAGTAAGTGGGTGGTGTATGGTTTGAGGACACCGATTATAATCAACAGACTGTATTCATAAAAAATGCACACACACCCAAGCCATCACCCGCCTTTCCTCTTAAAGGGAAAACATGCTAAAAACAGACCATCGTTGCCTCGGTTTCTGTGATTCAGGGGAGCTGCTTTACTGTGCATGACAAAATAAACGAATCAGCTTGTAACCCACGGATCATTTCTTATATCACACTGTTGAGAGAAGTGGCAAAGGGAATGAAAATTATGAGTAATTAAAGGTTAGGAGAGAGGGGTGGGTTTCAATTCTGTCCTGTTCTGGAGGAAGAATGTAGGTGTGTTGACATTCAGTTGGAAACTTCCTGACATAAAGTATGATCCGATAGGAGAGGAACTAGTTGCAACATTATGGGGACGGACATTTCCTGTGCAGCTGAGAGCAGCTGAAGTCATGTCCTGCTGAATTCCCCCACTCCTCAGTCCACACACGTTTTATTACCAATTTTATTAACATTAAGGAATGTTATCCACACAGGCGTGAATTATGATGTTAGTCAATTTAACATGCTATGTTAGTGTGATTTAATTATTTATTAGACGGAGCAAAAACCTACCTGTAAAACTTCACTCAGGCTTCTCCTAACTCCATCCACCACAGCAAATGGCCTTGTCTTCACTAGAGGCTTTAGCTCTCTCTGACTTGTGACTGTAGAAAGAGATACATTTTGTTCATAAACGTCCGATTTTCCTAAGAAACATAATCCGCATGTGCAAAATTTGTCAATTTTCCTGGTTAGTTTAAATCGCTTTTCGCATTTTAAGTATTTAATATAAAATAAATGAAAAAATCTTTGTATAGAGCAGTCAATATTTGCACATCCATCAATGTTTTATCAGTTAGAAAAAGATTGTTCTGAAAGTGATTTCTAACCATATCGTCCGTTTGTGATAATCATTATCATTGTAACTGGACTTTTCTATTCTCACAGCATTAGAATGATTATTAAAACTTAGTTATAGTCTATAACTAGCCATCTTTTACAAAAGGAATCTGATTTTATATATATATATATATATTTATTGGGTAACACTTTACAATAAGGTTCATTAGTTAACATTAGTTAACATGAACTAATAATGAACAGCACTTATAGAGCATTTATTAATCTTTGTAAACGTTAATTTCAATATTTACTAATACTTTATTAAAATCTTGTTAACATTAGTTAATGCACTGTGAACTAACATGAACAAACAATGAACAGCTTTATTATCATTAACTAACATCAACGAAGATTAACAAATACTGTAACAAATGTATTGCTCATGGTTAGTTCATGTTAGTTAATACATTAACTAATGTTAAATAATGAACCTTATTCTAAAGTGTTACTATTTATTGTGATAGCTTAAAATGAAATGATCAATAAGTTATGACCACAAATGTTTTACTCTGCTTTGACAATTGCTTTATAATTTAAGCAATTTTGAACTTTATGTTATAAAAGATTCAACTATTTTCAGTTTAATCATGTCATTTAAGTTGAAATGTTTCATTTCAAAAAGCTTGTTTTCAAAGCTTTCGTTTTCAAAAGCTTGTTTCACCTGCAAACTAGTTTCATATTGTTTACTGAAAATTAGTCAAAATGACAGGTGGTTCAATTTGTTAAACAGAAAAAACTTTTTTTTTTTGTCAAAGCAACCCAAATATTTCATTTGTCAATGGTTATTCATTTGCCAAACATTGCCAAAGATCTTCCCTACATGACAAAACAGGGACAGAAAGTTATTTTTCTTTTCATTTTTCACACCAGTAATATTATTCCATCTGTCTTTCAGTCATTTAACAATCCATTCATTTTATTTTTATTCTTTAATGCAAAGCATTAAAGTTGTGTTGATGAGATTTTTGTGGTGTTTATTTTTTATCAGATTCAGAACAGTTTTCCTTAAATGCACTCATATACAGGTTTCCTAAAAGGAACACACTAAGTGAGTAAAATTGTGAAGCCAGCTGTTGTTTAGTCTGTAACTGACAGCTGTGCTGGAATGCACATTTACAGCACTGGTTTACATGGCCACTGAACTCCATCAGAAGCATACGGTCAATCTGTCAAAAATGACCAAACTTGTGGAGACAACATAATTCTAGGATTCTCAACAAACTGTTCAAATTATTTGGAAACAAGTCAGAATTGGAAATCTAGATGTGAATGGCTTTTATGGAATGAGCTTCCTCTCCAGCAGCCCAGAATAAAGTTTGCAATTATTTTCAAGAATCAACAGTCTTATATTATACTCTGAGCAGTTTACAAACATTGAGCCTATGATTAAGGGGGTAAATGACAGTCTGCTGAGCAGGGTTTTAAAGAACAGAGCCTGCGACTTATCTAGACTAACTAAAATAGCTGAGCGGTTTCTCCAAGTAATCTGTGATGGGTCAAACACAAGAGCATGGCACTAACAATACCTGACACATGAAAAATGTAAATCTGTCTTTTTTCTTGTTTGTTCAAGTGTGGGCAACTTTTAAACAATTCTGAATAATCTGAAAGACACTGAAGAACATCTAATCATCGTTTTGTTTAGATTTGTTAGATCAATTATATATTTAAGCTAGCATAAACAGCTAACACATCAAATCCGCAACACAATTTGAAATGGGGATTTTTTTTTGTCCTGAACTTCATGAGACTGTTAATGTTAGTGTAATGATGTGCAGTATACATTAAATAGAGCGCAATCTGTGCATCAAAAAAGCTCTAAATTAACTATAGCCTATTAACTGCTTTGAAGAATTATGTTGCATCAAAAATTGCGTCAGTGCAATATTTAAAGCGGAGTAGCTTTTCCATACCACTGTGAGAGGAGTGAGTTATCCGTGCGTCCTGCTGCAGTGTTAAACTGCTGTCATCTCTGTTTAGGGTCAGAGCTAGAGACCCTCTAAACATCACGAAGGATGTGCCTTCAAAAAGAATAAGAGTGAAGAGAGTTCGCCAAAAACATCTCAACAACTGAAGGTGATGCTTCATGGTCCAGTGACGCACTGAGTGGTCTCTTCTCTGAATTCAAGTGGAGAAGCAGATCGGCACAGATCTTAAAAACAGCACGCTAATCACGTTAAGACGGCCAGCAGACAGAGGATCCGTCACACGTGAACGAGCACCTCGCCATTCACCTGCTGGACACCGAACTGCAGTCCGTTCGCAAAGCGTGTTCCCGGCCCAGTGTGGGTTCTGTCAGGGGCAGCCGAAATTCTCCTGAAAACATCAGTTCTGTCCTAGCAATAATAATGGCTTCTCTAGTTTGCTCGTATCGTTTTTGAGATCATCAGAATCGTTTGTAACCGTGTAGAATAAGCTTTCTAGGATCGCATAGTGCGCAGTCCGACTCCGTCCGCTTGTCCACCCGTGTTAAACTGAGGCAGTATAATCGCATTTCTCTCAGTGTGACCAACCAGATAGGATTTCCTCAGTCGCGTTAACTCTTTGCTGTCCGGGCAGGATTATACGCATATTCCTAAACAGCTGGTATGATAAATATCCTATAAAGGGTGTAATTGAGCTGGGCTCAAAACTAGGGTAGAAAACAACCTATTACTTATTAATTTTGATGTTTTTTTAATGTAAAAAAACAGCGAACATCATAAGTTGACCTTAATATATAAAAAAATAAAAAGCCAGTTCATGACCACATTTTCCAGCCTTTTAATTTATTTATTTGGTTCTGAATTTTGAGTTATCAGCAGCCAAAAATAAGCCAATGTCTACACTGTAAAAAAAAAATATTGGTTTAACTTAAATTTTTAAGGAAACCAGGTTACTTCATTTTTTTAAGTTCAATGAAATTAAAAAATTGAGTTAAGTCAATGAAGGAGATTGATTTAATCACCAGAAACTCAAAATATTATGTTATCTGAACAACATAAATTATTTAAGTTGATTTGACAAAATATGGTAGAAATTAATTGAAAAAAAAAATGCATTAAGTTACATAAACAACACTCAAATAAGTATATAGAAAGTCCTAAAATTAGAATTTTTTTTGCAGTTTTATTTTTTTTTTTCACATTTTAAATCCTTATTTTCACCCAGGTATCTGTTGGACGTGCACTCAAAATTCTAGGTAGAATTAGTTTTTTTATTTTGTATATAGTCAAGTGTGCTGCTTTTCTTATGGTTTCCACTAATCTATATAAATGACCAGTATAGTGTTTCAGACATAGAGTAGGGCAGGGGACACCATGAAAGTCATTTTGGGGTAAAAAAACTTGCTTACATAAAACTTGATTTAACCAATTCCAATTGTTTACACTTTAGCAGACCCACTTTAATTGTCCATAGAAGACGTGTTGAAATCAAAAAAGTTTTATCAGCCATTAATGCAGTTTGAGACTTGTAGCTGAACTTTAAAGGTGGAGTGATGTTCATCAGCAGCCGTAGTACACATCAGAATCATAGCCGTGATCTTGTGGTCCACACCGGTTATGAGGGAAGCAGGCGTAGCAGATGTTGCCCAGGTCTGTCCAGCATTGCTGGCAATAGATCACTGGGCAGCCTACAGAACTGCACAGCACAGCGTCCTTCTGCTTCACAAACCTATCACACACCCAGCACCAGTGCAACCTACAGCCCACACGCCTCAGAAGAGCCAACAGAACCGACAGCACCTGGCAGAGAAGAGAGGGAGGGTTCAAAGATGAGATCATAAATATATATTTTGACACTCATTTAAGTATTTGGCATGTAACCCGAAGAAAGGCCATTGTTGTGCATTTACTGCTACAGCTGGAGAGGTGCGGCTGGTGAAGAATGATACAATTGTTTTAGTTTGCTTATCAGTTTTTATAAGAAGGGAAGTACTTCCAAATGAATCTAACCAAGTTTTCAACTTATGCTGCATCTGAAATCACATACTCTTTTGAGTAAATACATATTTTAAGCAGTAAATACTTGGCAACCTTTTCAAAAAATCGATTTAGTATGACTGTAATCTGGACATACATTGGTCATGTTGCGTCAATTCACTCCCTGCCATTCATAAATCCTCTCCTGTGGCCTCAGGATAGAATCTCGTTGGAATTAGTAGGTCATGCGGAAACATTACATTGTCAACTTGGACATATTACTGTTTTCATGCTTTTACTCCGATTTTAATGACTGTATGACCTATGGAGTGCTGAATTTTGCATTTTTAAAATTGAGATGTGAAAATTCGAAAGTTGTAAGCTGAAACTCTTCAACAACAGAAAAAGTTCTGTTTTCTCTATACCAAAATATAATACACACCGTTATAAAAGTCTGTTTTTGATTTCTCAGCCGATGACGCTGTCTGTTGATGAAGGAGATCCGTTTCTGGATCTGTAGGTTGTAGAGGAAGAGGATCCGTTTCTTTTCTCTCTGAAAAAGCAGGACGGATCAGATGGGTTTCATCCAGCGAAATGCTGTAGATGGATTTCAGATAATAGGAATAAAGACAGTACAGTGCACTCCTGCAGGATTATAGGGATAAAAACACTACCAGTGTGCACGTCTTCACGAATGAGGTAATACTAGTGGCACTAGCTGAATCAGGGTTCACAGGGGGCCTGTAATCCTCCTCATGCCGACACGGGCCCACAAAATGCTGAAAATCTAATGCTATTACTTTAACCCTCTTATCTTATTAGTGCTTTAGCCTCACAAACACTAGAGAACACAGATTTCACTCAGTATGTATGAGAAAGTATCCTTCCTTTACACTGCACACTGTGTCTCAGGTGCTTTGAACTTGCTGAATCAGGATATCAGTTACAATCGTGACCAAACTGATTAAATCGCGTAGGGGTTTTACTTCACTCCATGGACTAGTCGCACACGTTCTACAAAAACAGTGCAGAACTAAGCCAAGAACCCAAAGATGCATTATTCAAGTCAGAACATTTTTTTTTTATTATAAAACACATTAGAAATTGTATTATACTACACTAATTTGTTTGAAACATGAGAAATCTGCATTTTTCTTTGCAATATGGACCCCATTTCATATAAAAGGAAAATGCAAAGTTTATTTTAATTGGAGAACTGACATCAGAGGACGCCATTTTGCCTGTTATTGTGCCTTTTGTTTGTTTCAATTATGCTAGGAGACCTTTAGCATTTGTTCAAGCCTTCCTGTGCCAAGTGTACAGTGACAAACAACAGCCTGCGAAATAATAAATATTCTCCTGCTGAGTGAATTCTTTTGTGAAATGTCTGCACTGGGAATAAAGGTGCCATTAATTGTTGAACATACTTTTATAAAGTGTCCAAGAAATGTGTTAGTAAAAAGGAAATATTATTAAAAAAATCATTTAATCACAAAAATCTTATGTTAAAAAAAACGTGAAAGCCCATCAACAGAGCATTAGCTTGATACATGCCACACATTACCCCAAGTCCAACAGCTATTATTCCTAAATCTGTCGCAATATTATACGTGATCAGCATTAGAAAGCAGCAGCACATGCTGAACAATAACTCTTAAGCTTCTTAGCCAAACAAAGCATAAGGAGCTTCTGATGTTTATGACTGACCAATATTGTTAATGACAAACACGCTGCCAGGAGTACTAGCTTCTGTCTCTCGATCCAAACAAACAAAATTAGTCATTCATGGGGTACTGTTCACTTTACTGTTGCTGAAGTTAATGGGACTGTTTGACCCAAAGACGAGAGTGAGTCAGTGTGAATCTGTTACCTGGGCTCACGGGGCAGGTAGTCTTACCTTTGGGAAGTAGAAGGTGCTGATGACCCGGCGCAGGCGATTGGTGTATACCTGCAGGCAGCACATGAGGCACATCAGTAAAAGGGGGAGGAAGATCCACAAGTAGTTTGACTGGCTCAGAGCATGTGGCTGGGGCAAACAATCTATACACACAAAAAGAACAAACATGATGCAAAGACGTAAGAAAGGAGACCGTAACTAGTTAAAAACAGCAATTATTAACAATTAATACCAGTTATTTATTTTAAAATGTAATTTATTGCCATGATGGCAAAGCTGAATTTTCAGCAGCAATTACTCCAGTCTCCATTGTCACGTGATCCTTTCGAAATCCTTCTAAATTTGGAACATTTTCTATTATGATCATGTGGAAAACAGTTGTGCTGCTTAATATTTTTGTGGAAACGGTTCTTTTTTTTCAAGATTCTTTAATGAATAGGTTCAAGAACAACATTCACAGTATTTGAAAACTATAATAACCCTTTAAAACATAACTGTCTTTATAAATGAATAAAAGGAATTCATTACTTACAAAAATAAAATCTTACTGACCCCAAAATTTTGAGCATATATACAAATAACCTATTACTGGATCAGGTTACATAGCAAACTGAATACAATGTCTGACTCTGCCGTCTAACTGATGTATCGTCATTATATTGTCTAGCTTGCATGCTGTCATGTTAGGGTTATAAATAGTCCTCTCATCAGCTGTCTGCCGGTGTACTGCGTCTGGTGACCGGTCTAGTTTAGATCTATCTGGATGAGATAAACAGGCACAATCAGAGATTTGAGTTTAACTCTGATCAGATTAAATAGACGGTCAGACCATAGACGTCACTTGGCCTCAGAAAAGACCGACTGTAACATTGAGCCACTCACAAGTACATTCACAATCTCTCTAATACTAAAGCTGGTGCATTTCTCCACGCCAGTAAGATTACACTAAGTTGAAACCAGATATTTTCGAAAATGTATTTTGAAACAAAAAGCCAACAGAATAGAGATTTAATTGAATAGATTTTTCTTCTAATGAAACAGTTTATGAATTAAACCCCACATTAGCTGAGATCAGTGTGGGAGTGTATGGGCTGCTGCAACAAACAGAGACCTTGTGTGATCTTGAGATATCAGGGACTTGGCAATACAATATTATATCAGTATCTAGGCCATGATCCAAAAACATAAGAGAAGTATAGTTATTCCAAACTGTGATGTATTGAGATTATTTTCTTATAGATCTTTTTTTTTCTTTTTCATCTGCACTGGGCTTTTGTGCCTGTGCAGTTATTCTTAGCTTGCTCTGAGATTCTCCAGAATTATCTCTTTTGTCCAGAATTTGTCATGTAAATTTCTCACTTGAAGAAAGAATATTGACACCCAAATAGTAGATAACCTACGCAAGTTACTTGATTGCACATCAAGATTGGAGGAGGTGTTGAAGGCCCCAATGGTTTTCCGCAGAAGTCTGGCTAACATGGAATCTCCACCAATTACAATGTCTGCATGTTGAACACCTTCAGAAGCAGAGATAAAGATAGAAAACATACTATTTACATCAAATTAATGGGAGGCATTAAAGGAGAACTCCGGTCAATTTTAACATTGAGCTAATTTTTTTGTACAATTGGAGTGCTGTCCGTGCAGACAAAAACGACAAAAATCAGTGTTGCCTACAGCGTGTAATCCTCTTTTTAAAATTCACACCCTGTTGACTTCAATGGGGCAAGTTCTAAACCTGCTTTTAGCCTCTTAACATCCTTGATTTGTCATTACAAGTGCACAGCCATGTGAGTGGTCTTATTAAAGGGATAATTCACTTTGAAATTAATTTTTGATATGTTTTAGCTTACTTCAAGGGGATCCAAGATGTAGGTGTCTTTGTTTCCACAGTATTTTCAATTTTGACATTTTTTGGTCAAACCGTTGTTGTCTGTCAGTCACACACTGGAGGTGAAGGGGGTCCTCAATCGGTTCACCTCAAAGAGCATGCACAGAGAAGTCGAAATTAAACATGATTCAATGACTCGTACATGTACTGTAAGTACACCTTGATGGCCTAAGACACGAAACGAGCAGTTTGTGTGAGAAAACGAACAGTATTTATTTATTTATTTATCGTTTTACCTCTTGTAATCATAGCCATGACAAAATGATCTGATGGCACGGGCGCCTATGTCACTCTTTGTTTATACATAGATTTCGGAAGTTTTACCTTTCACTAAACATATTTAGATATACGGGAAACTGCAAAGGAAGACGATTTCGGTATATCTAAATATGTTTAGTAAAAGGTAAAACTTCCGAAATCTCCGCGTAAATATTGAGTGACGTCACACACAAGCGATCACTTCCGACGTAACATTGAACTGATTCAGTTCGGTTCAGTTGGACATTGAACAACTGATTCAGATCACTTGGATTACACGAGGTAAAAACAAAAAACCGCTCGTTTCGGGTCTTAGGCCATCAATGTGTACTTACATTTATGAGTCATTAAATTATGTTTAATTTTGACTTCTCTGTGCATGCTTTTTGGTGGACCTCCTTTGCCTCCAGTGTATGACTGATAGACAGTCACAATGGTTTGACTGAAAAATGTCAAAATTGAAAATACTGTGGAAACAAAGACACCTACATCTTGGATGCCCTTGAGGTAAGCTAAAACATATCAAAAAATAATTTCAAAGTGAACTATCCCTTTAAGAGTGACCACGCTCAATCTGACTACAGTAGATGTGAAAGATATGAATAAAAATGATGTTTAATCAGCTAGCGCACATACTTGTTTTTACTTCCTGTTTTTGGTCGAAGTCCACAGTAATCGATTGTGGAGTTCGCGCGTTATAGCTTAGATACCAATGATTATGCGCACGAACTCGACAATCGACTACTGTGGACTTCGACCGAAAACAGGAAGTAAATACAGGAAGTGCGCTGGCTGATTTAACATCATTTTTATTCATATCTTTCACATCTACTGCAGTCCGATTGAGCGTGGTCACTCTTAATAACACCGCTCACATGGCTGTGACAAATCAAGGATGTTAAGAGGCTAAAAGCAGGTTTAGAACTTGCCCCATTGAAGTCAACAGGGTACGAATTTTAAAAAGAGGATAACAAATGTTTGTCATTTTTGTCTACTGACAGCACTCCACATGTACAAAAAAATTAGCTCAATGTTAAAATTGAGCGGAGTTCTCCTTTAAAGTAGAGTCACATGTTAATTCATTCAATCTCGAAGGAAAACACTGCTCATGTTTATGTCTGTATTTGTGCTCACTAGTAACAGAGTAAGTGGTGAAAGTGTGTCTTCGGATGAGGTCAAATATGTTGTACAGGATTCCATCCACAGCCAGCAGAACACACACAAACAGAGCCAGAGATGCGACTTGCAGGAAGCCCACAATCTGCACGAGAGACATTGTTTCAGACCCAAAACAAACAAACAAAAAAACTTCAGCTTATTATAAAATACATAAATGCTTTCCTGTTTGCAAAGTAAGTAATAAGCCAGCCATTATTTCCCTGAAATGCACCAACACTTTGGCTCTGTGGCACCACCAAAACATTGCTGTTTCTTTAAGGGTCCTCACCAACTCAACACAGCAGTGCTGATTCAGACAAAGGCATGAATTGGCTTTATGCACAGCTGCACTAGCTCCTTGTTTCCTGTCTGCCATTATTGGACAAACTTGATTAATTCAGGTGTGTCTGATTATTGTTGTTGTGACCATAGATATCATATAGAGACTAGATGCCCTATTGGCTGCTGGGCACTGAGAAATGTGGCCGCCATCTTAAACCGGTCGTGTTCTTATTGTGTTGCATAGCAGCAGTAGATGCCAGAGCACTGTGCAGCATATTCCCTGCTCAAATCGGCGGACCATCGCTTAGGAATTACTTTTCACAAGTAAGATTTAACATTTAACATTACCTGACTAAAGTTTGTATTTTGGGAATAAAATATCCCATGTGTCCTGTATTATAGCTACATGTATGACCTTTGCAGCAAAATACCCCGCGTGAAAATCTCTTCCGTATTCAGTGAGATATGATTCGTTAAATGTGCTGACAGCTCATATCACCTGCCAAACAGATTAGACTGAGCGGAGCGGATGACCGGTTTAAGATGCGGCTCATCCGTGCCATTAGGCTGTAGCGGTCGATGGGGCGTCTACCTATATGATGTCTATGGTTGTGACTACTGAGGTCAGACACACCTGGATTAACCTGGCAGTTTGTCCAATAATGGCTGACTGTAAACAAGGAGCTGGCTGAAGTTCAGGAAGTAGTGAAGCTGTGCATAAAGCCAATTATCTTTCTGAGTGAGTGTTTGAAAAGCCTGTTTGAAAACATTATATTACCGATTCTGTTTATGGCACACTTCACCTTTAACTCTGCTCCATTTTTAATACACAATCTGATTATCAGAACATGAATGAAATGCTGAACACAGGGACCATATTATCACACAGCCCTAAAAAAGTACCACAGGCATGAGCTCGCTGGAGTGGATAAATAAGCTCCATGGGTTGATCAATCTCTCTTGCTCTGCTTTCTTCAGTGGTAGCAAATGCCTCTTTCCCTGAAACAGAAGCTCAGATTAGTGCAAACACGGATATGAATGTCACGTGTACTTTTAAGATTATAACTTACAGCTCTTTTTCTTCGAGCATCAATCTGTCTGAAGTAAGTAGTTATGTAGACATTGTCGAAATGAATGTCTCTGCAAAATTGGCGAAGATATCCAAATGCTCTGCAAAAAAAAAAATAATAATAAATAAAAAAAAAAACCCTGAACATTTGATAAAAAAGGAGAAAGATGCCCTGGTTCTCTGATAACCTGCAGGAACATGCTACATCCACCGGACACCCAAACCCCCCCCAATCCAGTAGAACTGCACATTTTAGAGTGGTCTTTTATTGTGGCCAGCCTAAGGCACACCTGTGCAATAATCATGCTGTCATAAATCATAATGTATATATATATATATATATATATATACATTATTTTTATGTTTTTGAAAGAAGTAAAATAACTGTATTCAATTATAATTTTTGTATTCAATTATAATTTATAATTGTAAAACTTTATCTATTCTTGTGATGCCAAAGCTGACTATTACTCCAGAAATTACTGTACCTTCAGAAATCATTCTATTGTGCTGATTTGGCGTGCAAGAAACATTTTTGTACCTTTGACAATGTTGTACCTTTGCAGCCCGTTCTCATCCTTTAACGTCATATAGAACGCTATATGCAAAAACGGCGCTGTACTACGCACATGGCACCCTTTATCGTTAATATAACACGCTAACCCAAGACGTCATAAATCCTTTAGCGTGAATATGACACGCACACCCTACCCCACACCTAAACTTAGCCTTCACAGCGCGTGTTATATTTTCACGATAAAGGGTGCCATGTGCGTAGTATAGCGGCGTTTTTTCATATAGCGTTCTATATGACGTTAAAGGATGAGAATGCGTTGTAAGGTCACATGTAGCACAACGGCACTTAAGGAAGGAGTGAGAACTTACGAGGTGAACACCGTGATGAAGGTGAACGAGAGAAGGAAGTCAATCACCCCAGCTATCTTCTCAGCAATTACAATTTTCTCCTGAAATGCACGGCTCAGCTCCTTAGAGAAATTCTGGAGGACGTTCACTCCAAATACTGACTGCTGCTCCAAATTCTTAAAGACAAATCATAAGAAGATTTTTTTTTAATTTATTATAGATAGGGTAGGTAATGTTTTTCATGAACACTTTATTATTACTGGTTGAAACTGTCTTCACATCCTGATAGCAATCAATAAACAAAGAAAATTAAAAATATAAAAAAATATTGACTTGTTGACTTACAGCTGAAATTAACATGCAGCAGTCAAGTGGTACAAGTCAGAGCTCTTGTAAATTGTTTATGTTCATTATTATTGTAAGGGTGCTTTCACATCTGTAGTTCAGTTCATATGGTTGGAACCAAGGGCGAAAAATTACACTTTGTAGCTTTTTTCAGGCGTTTTGGTTCCTTTTCACGCCACACTGATTTCCCTGGTCCAAATCAGTTGATGAGATGATGAAACTACCCAAAATGCAGTCACATGACAACATCAACATCACTCGTTGACCGGATGTGTCTTGAACAGATTTCCATAACTGCACTTCGATTGGTCAGAATTCGCTGTTCTTCGAGTTTTTGAAAGTTGGGATTACCGGACATTGGCCGGGAAAAAAATGAAATGACAGACAAAATTAAATCTCTCCGGTCGAATTGTCTGATTATGGCCTAATTTAATTTAAATGATTACATTTCTATGAGGCTCCGCACTGCCTCACAACTCCAAGTTTGTCTGTGCAAACGGTCAACAAATATTAGTCCTCATCCCATAATGTACAGCGCAGCGGACTATGGCAGCTGATTTAGTCCAAAAAATGCGCAGTTCTTTGGTAGTTGGGTCTGTCGAGGTTGGATCACGTTCTCACCACAAACGAAACGCTCCGGAGTTCGTTTGAAAGCGTACCTAGACCTCGTCCGCTTTTGTTGCACACCCAAAGTGTGATTGTTGCATTCACACCAGCCTAAATGAACCACACCAATGACCAAAACGAACTCTAGTACGATTCAACCAAACTAAACGAGGCAGGTCTAAAAACATCCTAAAGCATGAGGTTATTTAACGCCGTCTCTCTCTTGTGACGCTTTGCAGACTCTGCTCTGGCTGTGTGCGTTCATGTGTTTTGGAGGAGGTGTGGCAATCGTAAGATTTTTACCTTTTTATATTAAAACTCAGGGGGTTTGCTATACCTTAAGCACTACATTGGTGGTGAAGTGTTCTGCAAGCCTGTTGATGGAGTCGTTTAGTTTGTCAAAGGTCTGACCAAAGTTTCCCTCAACTGGGATTTTCTCTGTGCACCATGATGTCATCACTGAGAGAAAAAGGGAGGGAAAAAATTAATAATCCTGATTTCTAAATTTAAAAATAAGATACAACATGCAAATATTACCTCTCATGATATCACACAGAAAGTGGAATTGCATAGGAATGCAGAGAAAGTTGTTTATAAGAGGCGCTTGAATGGTATTCATACACTCTTTCCACTTAGTACTGAACCAATCCTGACATCTGCTAATTCCCTGCTGCACCACATCTGTTACACACAACATCATTTAGACAAAGCTAAACTTAAAACCTCTATCGTACACAGTCTATAGCTTGTTTTCTTCTCATTTACACTCACAGTCACAACGGGCTCTAGTCTTCTCTACATACTCCTCCTGAGTGCTGTTGGCCGTATGGACGGACTCCTTACCAAGAGAGTCATATCCGTACCGTCCCATTACCTCATCCCGGATCTTCTGGAACTTTTTGCTCACTTTTTCAGAGATTTTTTGAAATTCCTCACTGTCATTCTAAAAAGAAAGATGTTTGTGGAACAGATTTCCATGACTGATCAGCATAATTACATGATCAGCAAATTGTAGAGTGTCAGGACTCACCACTATCTCCTGCACTACTTGCACGTAAGGCTCTGTCAGCATTCTCCACATCACCTTGCTGTGTGTGATCTGCAGGTCTATGTTACAACCCATGGAGGAAGCCACATCCTGCACGTTATGCTGGATGTTTGCAATTGGGCCTGATGGGAAGAGCACAGGAGATGGGTCAAAACTAAAGAAAGTCTATGTTTGAGGTATGTGCTTTGTAGTGTCATTTTAAGTCACAAAGTTGAATATTCCTGTCCCTAAGATTTTTACCATGGTAAAGTCCATGCAGCACAAAAACCATCAGGTATGTCCGACCTTGAGATCCAATCATACTAGGAAACATCAGGAGAACGGAGCAGCGGAACAGTTTGGAAAACATGCCTCCAAGGCAACACAGACCTACAGAAACACACCATACAGAACACATAACGCAGACACCTGTAAGTAAAAAAAGCATTTGCACTGAAGCAGAATATAATATTTTTTATCAAATGTTTACTTTCTGCAGTGTACTTGCCTACGAACACACACCCAACAACAACACGTTGTATAGCTGTCATGGCAATATTTTGCATGAGTCCGTAAAATAACCCTTAAAAACAGGTTAAAGATTAGCATCACATGTTAATTGTACTGTATAATTCATGAAACAATCATTTATAGAATACCATTAAAAATTTTGGGGTCAAATAGACTTAAGATATTAAATTCACCAAGGATGCATTAAATTAATTAAAAGTATAAGTAAATACATTTATAATGTTAAAAAAAAGATTTCAATTACAACTGTACTTTTTTGGGACCAATTATTTGTGCTTTCCTCGTTAACAAATTTTCAATGACTTCATTCAATGTGGAGGACATAAATGATCAATATAAAACTAAAAATTAACTGGATTGTTGACGGGGAATGTAGCTTTCATAAGGCCCACACACACAAGATCTTTCGCTTTCTCTCACTCTGCCGTGCTCACTCACAATCATGACATAGATCCACAGCTAAATCAATGAGTATAGAAGCACTATGGTTACAATGACCTCCGATTGTGTCACAAAATTCAGAAATTATCGTACATTATAGGATTTTTTTCATCATTGATTGTACAGAGGTCAAAATTATCGTACAAATACGATAATTATCATACTTCTGGTAACACTCATCTGCCCACTGTGCTGGGAACAGCAGCTCATTTGCATTTAAAGGGACAAACACAAAAACTGTGTGTGTTTACCAAGGGGGTAATTCATCTGCGGAAGTTGAAGCCTCACGGGAGCCGCCATTGTAGAAGAACTTCACCTGCTGTTTAGCATCCCATTGACTCCCATTCATTTTGGCGTCACTTTGACAGCGAATAACTTTACATCTGAGGTGTCCAAAGACTTAATTTGTTCATTATTTATTTGTAAAGAAACACGACAATGTATAAAAGGACTTCATTACTTACTGTATCTTACGTTACGGCCCTGTAGAAGCAGTTTTTGTAAAAACAGGCTGACGATTGTGTCATAACCACGCAACTTTCTATCGCACAATAGAGACATTACCATATAGACAGGAGGAAAAGCTCGCAGGCAATCTTTTACTGCCTATAAGGCAATCAGGGGTACATGGAGCCATAAAGTCAAGGGAGAAGTCCATAGATAGAAAGTTCATAAAAGCAACGGGACAAAAAATTACGTTTTTGAGGAATTCGGTGATTCAGATTTGTCTAAGCACAGCTACTAGAAGATTTACAACTGTCGACTGTCGTCAAGCTCAGTTTGAGCCTGTGCAGTTGCTCAGACATCAGGCAGGAATTTAATCAGTCTTCTCCATTGAAATCAATGGGGTCACTGTGTCCATTTCTTTTACTGTCTGTGGTTTTTACTCACACTCAAAAAATGACATCTTATATAAAAATATATGTACGGTATTTTGAGCTAAAACTTCACATACACACTCTTGGGACATCAAAGACTTATTTTACATCTTGTGAAAGGGGTATTATACCACCCCTTTAAATAAATGCAGCCTTGGTGTTCATGAGAGACATACGATATATATATATATATATATATATATATCTATATATATATATCTATATATATATATATATATAAGAGACAGATGTTAAAAAAAAAACACTTTAAAAATCTTACAGACAGACCCCACACTTTTTAATCGTAACGTTAGTATGCTTACCAGATTTTGCAAAGCTACCTACCCACACCACTCAAAGCTCCAAACACAGCCCCCGTGAGACGTCGGACCACAGGAAACTCTGACAAGGGGCCAAACAGTAACCTATGAACTCTAGGTGGCAGAATGCGCTTACACACCTGCTCCAATGCTGCAAATTCACACCAAAAAAAGAGTCAAATCTATGCTGGGCAGCTACTAATAAATTTTGAGTGTTATCTAAAAACAAAATGTAAGATAAACACACTTGAGTGGGGTGTTTTACATCTGGTTTCCCCAAGACACTCCATTGCTGGTTTCTTCTTCACTGCTATACAAGAACACTGACTGCTAAAGAAAGCCGTTTTAAAAGATGCAACAATATTCCGTTAGATTGAACCCCGTGGATTAGGTGTAAAAAAAAAACCGTTTTTACATTTTTAGTATAAGCATTTGAATGGGGCCAGAAATACATCATCCGTTTACCTGTCAATAAAAAAGTGAAACTTGGATCAAAAATTGAGTAACGTTTGCTATAACGTTATTTTGCTTTGAAAAGCAAGTTATTACTGCAAGCTCTACAGTGGACAGGTAAGTTATAGGCCTAACTAACAATTCATATTTCCTTTTTTAATGGCTAAACATCTAATAAAGTTGCTTCCTTTTTTATTTTTGTACTTCCTTTCTCTTTAGGATGGCTCTAAATGGACCTTTTTAATGTCTCTCGGTAGGAAAATATCGCGTAGGCGTCGCTCAGCGATACGTCAGGTGAAGCGCAGCCTTGCTGGATTTACTCTGGGTTTGTTCCTCGCTTCAGTGTACGGTATGACAGCGCTGTTCATCCAGAACAACGATCTCTGGTTCTGCGTCACCACTACCGGCATCATCGCCGCTTTGGCTGGGTTTGGATCGGGTCTTTCCGACCGCGTGCGCACCAACGTCATGCTGATGATCCCAATGCTGTGCTCGAGTAACTAAACACTGTCAATCTTTCATAAACGTATTCTGTGTTGGAACATGTGAACACGTTAAGTTGCTGAATATAATTTAAAATTTAAGCCTATAATATGAGCAGATATAGGGGAGACCTGGGCTATTTGTCAGAAAGGAAAGAAAAAAATAAGAAAAGAATGAATATTTCCACTTTTGCTGTCCATGGGGGAAAGGTTAAAGGCCTACAATTTATAATGCTTGTATGTTTACATGACCACTATATGCATTTCATCTAAATGTAAATATTCAAAACAATTATGAAAAAAACACAGCAAGTTCTTAAACCGTAAAAATGTAATAGGTAATGTACAAATATAGCAAAACATTAACATATAAAAATGTATGGTACAATTATAACAACTGAGTACATAGTGCATTTTACATTGTGTATAGTGTGTGATTTGGGACTTAATTTTCGGACATATTACTTTGTTGGCTTGATTTTTCGTGTACTATATATATAGTAGGGAAGAATTTGATTTTCACAGCGCTAGTCTCCTCTAAATCTCCTTTGAATTAGCTTTAAAACTACTCTGAAATCATCTGTATGATTTATTAATTATTATTATCATCATCAATAATTTATCACCTCTTAGTTTTCCTAATTGTATTGCTCATCATAACACCTCTCACACGTTTTTTTTTTTTTTTTTTTTTTTTTTTTGCTTTTAAGCCAGGGGTAAAAAACTCCTTCTTTTCCTCATCTGTACCTTGGTTATCCATGGCCCCGTGAGTAACACAATGGAGAATGTTGAACGGGCCGCAGACAGTGTGATCTGTGGTACAGAACTTGCCATGAATCAGACCCAACAACTCCTACAGCGTGCCGCCAACCCACTGCTACGTGAGTCCATCTGCAAGATCATCATGTCAACAATGCTCCTCTTTCAAAAACACCAACATCAGCTCTAAACTAAATAGCGAGAATATTTAGAATTTCACTTTATTCACTTGAAAAGATAGTGTACAAGAATAAATTCTCATCATTTATTCACCCTCACCTTTTTTTCTGCAAAACACAGTAGATGTCTCAGTATTTGTTTATTTTTTGTCCATACGATTCACTGTGTAGACAAAATCAGTTCTTCAAAATGTCTTCTGTTTTGCAGAAAAAAATTTGTTTGATAAAAAACTGATGTTTTACCATTCTAATAATAAAATATAATATATTTATTTAATATAGTGGCTAAAATATTTCTACAACTAACCCTAACCCTGTATGTGTGTGTATATATATTCTCAAAGTCTTTTGGTTTACTTAAAAATACAGTTGTTTGTTGTACATATTTTTGTTTTGATATTCTAAAAATGCCTTTTTTTAGCGGCCCTGAGTAAGATTAAGGAGATTGCGAGGAATGCTTACTCAATGGCAGGCCGAGTACAAAACCTCATCAGAGCTCTGACGGAATCTGTGCGTCATGTTGGTGAGTGAATCAGTCGACCAAACATCCTGTATAACGCCATAATCTGGGCCTATACTCTTTCATGTTTATTGAGGTTTGAGTCTCTCTCTCTCTATTTCCTTTTCAGCTCGTGTTCTAAGAAAGGTACTGCACTTCATGGCAGATATTGGTGATGTGTGTAATGACAAGCTGGGTCTGCCATATCAGAAGTGCACTAAGCTGTTCCAAGAAGGCCGTGAGAACTGCATGGAGCTGCTCTCTGTGTTCTCTTTTCTCTGCCACATCCTAGATGGATTCCAGTCTCTCTGCGGGCTCGCACGCGGTGCGTCTCTGGCATATGATTAGTCCCTTAAAAGCCCTGTCATTACCCTCTTTACAGGAAATCATATATCCACAGCACGCTGATTCCTTACTGCATTATTTTCTGCATCACAGTGATTTGGTTTCGGTATATTTGATCTCTTCTAACGTTGTCGAAACTGTGAAAAATGGTTCCTGTGACAGAGCCTCTTAAGTACTGTTCATCTCACATGCTCAATAAATACAAAGGT